TTAGCTGTCAAGCTAAGTTGGTATTACTAATAATGCAAAGCACCAGGTTATATTACATAGTAGACTTACTTATATCTATTGATCTCATATCTTTCATACTCAGATTTTTTACTAGATTAGACATTAACTAGCTTAACTATTGAAATCTGTACTATTTTACTAAACTTTTAATTTCTATTATGCAGGTTCTCTGCCTATAGATCCTATTAAAATTTATTCGTACAATATAACTCGAATATTGTGTTACACTTCTAATATCTAATTAATATTAGTGCAATGTAATTTACAGAGTTGTAATTTCCAGAAACGAGCAAAGTTTACTATAAGTTGAGTACAAAGGTCTGAGTAATTATTCAAATTCGTCAACAGTAGAATTTGAACTCCAAACCTCTTGTATAATAGTCTGGCAACCTAACTACTACACTAAGATCACCAGACCTTTTATATATTTATCTTAAAAATAATAAGCAAGATTATAGCTAATAATTACATTCTAGTTATGAATGATACATATAACTCTTTCTGCTAATTATCTGTATACAAATATTCATAAATAAAAACTTATAATTACAGAGAAAACAATATAAAAAACAATATTTGTAGCCTTAAAGAAAAAAAAAGAAGACAAAAAGAAGTATATAGTCTCTTAAGAGGCTAAGGCCTCAGAAAGAAAAGCCAAGTAGATATAGAAGAAAACTTGATGAGCTATAAGTGTTTTTTCTTTTGCAAGTATTTTTTAGAGGATTGTATTTAACTCTATTATATAAATCTATTTAGTTATACAAAAACAAAACATGTAATAGAGAGCAAACAAAACAAATATAGAAAAAGCCACATGATAAGTAGATATATAAATACAACAAAACAAAAAAGCAAACATATAAAACTTAAATAGAAGAAAATTCCGAAAGAAGATTCACAAAAATAGAAGTTATAGCAAAGCAGATATACAAACTAAGAAGAAAGTTAGAACAATATCAAAAAGTAAAAATAACTAAATTAGAATTAGAAAATCTTATAGAAATTAACAAAACATCTCTTAGAATAATAACAGAACTAGCTAAACTAACAGGAAGAGATATTTATAAGTTTTTGATTATAAAAAAGATACAATATCTGCTTGAAGAACTTAGTATAGAAAAAGCAAAACTCTATACTGAACTTATTGAAAAAGAAGAGCTCTTGCAAAAAATATAACAAAGAATAGATACAAGATGAATAGAAATACTTAAAGCTAAGGCAATTAAGAAGTAAAAACAATGAAACAAAGAAACTATAATAAAGATCAGTTTACAGATAAAAGAAGCAACTAGAAAAGCTTTATTAAAGCAACAAAGAAGAAAAAAAAAACTTTTAAAAGAAAAGCAAAAAAGAAGAACAAAAACTCTAGAAGTAGCAAAAGAAGAAATATAGAAAAATGAAAAATAGAAAAAGTTCTAGAAGAGCTTAAAGAAGAGACAAGGCTAATAGTACAAGAAAAAGATCAAGATAGTCCTAAAAATAACAAAGAAAAAAAATAAAAATATGAAGAATAAATCTAACTCAAAAGAGAAGAAAAGAAAAAAAGATAAAGTTTGAACAAAATAAAAAAAGAATAGAAGCTCATAATCTCTAGAAGAATTGAAAAAGGAAAAAGAAGAGACAATCTAAAAGATATAACTTTAGAGAAGAAGATTAATTAGTAATACAAAAAAGTGGCCAAAAAGAAGCTTATAGTATTACAGAAAAAGAAATACGAAAATGCAAAGCAAAACTAAAAAAAAAAAAGATATTTTATTTAATTAGAAGATCTGTAGATAAATCTAGTAGAAAAGTCTAGAAAAAAAGAAAAAAAAATGAAAAATTTTATAAAATGAATATGAATAGATAAATAGAAAGTAGAATAAAGTATAGTTATTTAGAAGAGATATTCAGAAAAATTAAAAATTTATAGATAAAGAAAGAGAAAGTAGTTGAAAGGATATAAAAATAGTCATGATGAGCTGTGGTATTCATACTTAGAGAGTTGTAGTTACAGAATAGTAGCAATAATAATCTAGTATAAAGGTTATTATAGCAGATTGCATATAGATATCTATAGGATAACTAGGTAAGTTAAAACTTAAAAAATTAGACATTAAAAAGATATATAGTCATTCAATAATGTTTTCTTGTATAAAACAAATTCTAAATAAAGTTTTGGCATGACTGCTGAATTAAAAAAAAAAAAGATAAAGAACAATTTGTTAGATTATATCATCAGTAATGTAAGAAAACTAGGTTTCAGATTTCAAGAGATATTCAGAAATACAAACAATTTAGATATAGAAGATTTAGAAATAGAAGACTTTCTAGAAAGCAAAAGTTATAAAGAGTTTATAGAGAGCAAAAACCTTAATTTGTTTACTATAAACTAGCTCTTAGAAAAAGGAGGCAAGTACTTACTTAAGTAGTAATAGATCAAATTTTTAAGAAAGAGCAAGTTGAAAAGGCAAAAGTTGAACTGGTTTGAAAACTTAGAGGAGAAGATTATTTAAGATAGGAGATCAAGAAAAGTACTAGGCTTCTTGCAAACTCAGAACATAAATTGAGTAGTACTTAAGATAAAGAAGGAGAAAGTAAGTATAGCCAGAAAGAAAAAAGAATAGATTCTGTTTAAAGAAAACAATAGGATGTTAGTAGGTAAAATAATAAAGAAAACCAAAACTTGCATAGTAATAGCTTACTAGAAAGTAGTTAAAGATAGTAACTCTCTGAAAATAAAACTTGTTTACTGTAAAGGCTACAACTTAGGAAATAGGAATGATATGGAGTATCTTATTTCTAAGAGTATGAGCAAACAGTATCAAACTCTAAAAGGAGTAATCAGAAAATAAGAACAGGTTGTAGAACTAAAGTCTCTTCTATTAGTCTATCTAAAGTATGTAGCACTTAGTATAACAGATTTAGTTAGTAGACAAGTAGAGATCTAGGTGAAGATATCAAACTTAGAAGAAGCAATAATACAAAGAGTAATCAAGGAAAGTGGTATTCAAGCAGAGCTCATTGACATTGCAAGGAAACTTCAAGGTAGAGACAAATTAGATATATATATAGATAGATTACTTGTAAATAGAGAAATAGGCAGTATAGAAAGTAGTAAAATAAGAATAGGTTGAATAGTAGCTTATGAAAAAGCAGATAGCATAGATAGTATTAGCTTTAGTAGTAGAAATCCTGAGTTGGTAAAGTAGTATGGCTTTCAATAGTCATACTAGCTAATACTTGATTCAGAAAGGAAACTATCATTAAAAGATGTAGATCAAGTTGAGTATACATAAATTTGTTTTATAGAAAGGATCAGTAACACCAACTTGGCTTAGCAGCTAATTAGATTAAAAAGATCTGCTTCATAAAACATCTAAGAAGATAGAATACAGAAAACTAGTAGAGAGCCACAGTAAGAACTAGAGTTGTATGAATATCTACAAAAGTCTAAGTTAGGTGAATTCATGAAATAGGTACAAACCTTCTAGTAGGTATGCTTCTAAGGTTAACTGAAGCTCTGCAGTTCACAATATGTTAGGTATATGTATCCTAAGAAGACCTAAGTCATGCAGTAAATAGATCTATAAGCAAGTTAGCTAGCTTAAGTGATCAGATATAGTAGTGACGTTAGTTTGGAATAGGAAAAAGGTTAATGATCAGAGTGTTTAAATAGGTAATTCACAAGCAAGTTGCAGGTATAACAGAATAATATAGAACTAACAGATAGTTAATTGTCTGTATGGTAGACTACTTAAATTAAACAATGACTAAAGTTGTACATGTAGCTTGTTATATACTTATTATGTAATTATAAAACTTTAGAAGTCTACCTTAAGGTAGTTTTGTAATAACAAATTAATAAAATCTAATCAGCAAAGGAAGCTACCTTAATAACAAAAAAAAAATAAAAATAAAAACAAGAATACATATCTCTAAGTATTAAAAACTTATCTAAAAATTAAATTTTAATTAGATCATCTACATGATAGTAATGTATATATTTGTTGTCTTGTCTAAATTGTATATCAACAGATAACTTGTTAAATTAAGAAGTAGTATAAACTTGTTAATCCTTTGTATGAAGTTCACTAAATCTCTATTTTTTGTTATTTTTCAATAAAAAGAAATTCAAAGAATCTGAAGAAAAGAGAATAATATCAAAAAAAGCTTTAGAGAGAGAAATATACTAAACCCAGTTCTAGTATTATAGTTGAAGCTTTATACCTTAATAACTACTATAACTTTTACCTTTTTTTTATTTTGTTTTAGTTTATAGATAATACTTTATACATATATACAAATTTCTATATATATGTCTTACTAAGAAAAAACTTTTTATAACTAGACTTATATCTCTTATAATTAGACTTTTATACTTATACCAGTTAAAATATCAAATATATAGTTTACCAAGTAAATATTAAAAATACTACTAAATTTCTAGAATAAAAACAAAATTTTTTTTTGTTCTATATTGCTATTAATAATTAACAAAAAAAGTAACTAAACTAAATCAATTTCTTAGATTAAACTTTAATAAATATAATCCTATAAAAAAAATATACTACTTTACCAACTCAGAATTTCTACTATATAGATCCTCTGCCTGTATATTCTATCAAGATTTATTTATACAATATTATATCACACTTCCAAGTTTAAATCAATTTATTCTAATTGGCTAATTTTTACAATTTTATAAAATAAATTTTATTATAAAAAATTATATACAATCTTTAAATTCTAATATTTTGATAGTTTTTAACCAATTTTAATAATTTTATTACTAATAGAATCACAAGAACCTACTTTACAATTTTATTTAAAAGCTTAAAATAAATTTAGTTAATAAATTATTTTGTATTTTAAATTACAAAAAATAGTATACTCTACCCTTAAAATTAAGTGTTAGAGAAATAACTATCAGTAAAACGGAGTGAATCCTTTATTAAACGGTAACTAGAAAAAAATGTTCTATGTTTGGTAATTAAATATCACAATTTAATTATCTTTGGCTTTATCTTGCCTTTCCGTATTTTCGACAATCTCTCAATCTTTTCTTCTTTCTTCAATTTTTTCTTTTCATTAATAAAGATATGATAATCATCATCATCAGCTCCATGTTGTAAATCTGACTTGCCTACAACAACAGTTCCAACTTCTATTTATCCAAAAAAAAAAAAAATGAGCACGAAAAATGACCAAAATATTTTCGCAATTTAAGAACAAGAAACCACCTTCTTTTTTCAATGTACAATCTTTTGCAAAATGATCGACTTTTCCGCAAAATCTGCATGCCCCACCATTAGGGTATAAACCTTTTTCATTCTTTGGGCATTGACCGGAAAGATGACCTTGCTCGTTGCATACAAAGCACTTAGCATATTTATATTTATCTCCTACATATATCAGGCACGTAAAATTTATAAATTAAAAATAATTTATACTTTAGTTAATTTCCAAATAAACAAACCTAATTTGACGGATTTTTTACAACTTTTTGAAGTATGTTCAGCTGATCCGCAAGTAAAACAAATGCCTATTCCTTGTTCTTTTGCTGTCGGGCAATCTCTTACACTGTGACCTACTTGTCTGCATCCAAAGCAAATCTATATACAATAAAGGTTAAGTATATTTAGATATAAACATAAGCAATTATAAATCTAGCGATTTACAGACAGTTGTATTCAGTCGTCCTTTGATTCTCCTTAGCCTGCGTTTTTCAGAACTTTTAACTCTTATCTCAGGACCTAAAGGAATAACAAATTACATTATTTATTAATAGATTAAAACTTCAAAGAGCAATGATATTTATTATTTTCGCACTTTTTTCGATTTTCTTTTTATCGCATTTTTTAGCAAGATTTTCAAAACCAGCAGCCTCTTCATATTTCTTTTTCTCAAGTTTAGTATATCTCGTCATTACACAGTCTTTAAAAGTATTGTAGGTAGATGAAAACCAATCCTATCTAGATTTGAATTTGTTAATTTCCGGAATTTTCTCCGAATACATATGCGAGTTCTGCGGTTTAAAATTTTTTTATACTACCCATTTTTTCCACAAGAACGAATTGACACTTGCGACATAGTTAAGACTTTTAATAGTGTCCTAGGTACTTTTAGTGGGTTCTTTATTTTACTTGGAGCTTATCACTAAATAGAGAATCATTGGATAATGGCTGATGTCAATTTTGCTCTTACGGATCCTTCTAAAAAGTAGTGTTTCAACGTCATAAGTCCTTAATTATAGATCATTTCTAAAAATTTATTTCACATATTAAATTTAGAGGTTTTTGGCGAAGGCATACGTCCACTTTGCCTGGAGGGTAGGCAAATACACATTGATTTTTTTTTTTTTTTTTTTTAGTTGATCTTAAATTATTAAATATAATTAGTGTCAAGCCTGTGGAATCAAAAACAGGGGCAACGAGACTAGTAATCGGGGCTCAATACTCTTATGGAGAAATGTCAGCTGCGAATACTGTTGAAGTTATAGGGTAAGGAAAAAAAAAAAAAGCAAAGAATAATTTTATTTATCATTCTGGTGATTGTCTATCTTATCGAAATTAATTTACAAAGAAATGCGCAGACACATTCTTCCAATCAAGCAACTCGTGATTCGCTTAATAAAGATCCTTCTTCAGATCCATCTGTCAATTTCTCAAGCTTTATGTCAGATACAAATGATGAATGGAATGACAAATTGGATAATGAAGAATTACCAATTGATAAATTAAAAATTCAAAGTCAACCAAAAAGTTCTCAACCAAAAAAAGAAAAGGTACCAGAACTATTCAGTACGCAATCGATTTCAGTTGAGAAAAATGTCGGTATAAAAGCTGAAATTGCTGGATTAGTTCAAGGTATATAAAATAAAATTTTTATTAATTGATCCATACATTTAACATTTTCCCCTTTTATTCTTTATATTGCTGAAAAAATATTATAGATCCTATGAATTCGATAAACTCGTTGAAATTGCCCGTTACCAACACTAACCAAAATCCGCGTATAAATAAATTTAAGGATGTTTTACAAAGTCCTAATGTCGACTTGAGTATGTTAATAACTTTATATAATTTTCTGAGTTACAAATTTCTTGAGAGAACAATAAAATTCTAATTACATGATTTTGATTGAATTAGCTGTACTCAGACAACTTAGTTGGAAAGGTATACCAGATGAACTAAGACCTATGGCATGGCAATTGCTTCTCGTAGGTTGATTAATGTATTTTCTATAATTCGAAAACTTTAAATAGTAAATAGTTTATAACATGAACCTTCTGCCATAGGGTTATCTTCCATGTAATTCCGATCGTCGTGTAGCTACTTTAGCACGTAAGCGCAAAGAATATGAAGATAGCGTCTCCCAAGCTTATGCAAGGGGAGTTGCTGGGTTGGATCAGACCATATGGCATCAGGTTTGGAAACCAGATAAAATGAAATAGTGCACGTAACATGGGTGCACAGTTTTTGATTATAGTCATTTTTTTCTTTGTGTTATAGATTCACATTGATGTTCCTCGAACTAATCCTGGTATTGCACTTTACCAATATGAGACAACACAACAGGTTAGTTAATATTACTGGAAATTTTCAAAACAAACTCATTATCACTAATAATCTTAACATTCTAGTCCCTGGAACGCATTTTATACGTTTGGGCAATTCGACATCCCGCTAGTGGGTATGTTCAAGGAATCAATGACCTTGTCACTCCCTTTTTCCAAGTCTTCCTATCTGCTTACATAGGTTGCGTGCGATTTTCATTTTGTGAAGAAACTTGCTTTCTTGTTTTGGTATATTGTCTTACTGAATTTGGCGGTGCTCTTATTATAGACAACGATCCAGAAATATATGATCCAAGTTTACTTCCAAAAGAAGTATTAAATGTTATTGAAGCAGATAGTTTTTGGTGCCTATCCAAATTACTCGATGGCATTCAAGTATGTGATTATTTAAGTATTTAATATTATTACATAAAATGCTTATTTGGTATATATCGTATTACTTAGGATAACTATACGTTTGCCCAACCGGGGATACAGAGGCAAATAAGTACGTTAAAGGATTTGATAAATCGAATAGATGGTATTTATAAATGATTTAAAGATGCGTATTCAATACATAATTTAGATATATGAATTATATTTATTATCTTTATGAAAATCCCTACAGAGCCATTAGCAACACATCTTCGGGAGGAAGGCTTAGAATTCATTCAGTTTGCTTTTCGATGGATGAATTGTTTGTTAATGCGAGAGATGTCTCTTAAAAATACTATTCGGATGTGGGATACTTATTTGGTATAGATATTATTATAGATATGTGTGCAGTTGATATAAAATCTTTAATTCTAAACTTGTTCATTACGCAAACAATTTTATAAAGGCCGAAGACTCTGATGGTTTTTCAGAATTCCATCTCTATGTATGTGCGGCGTTTTTGGTTAAATGGTCGGATAAAATAAGATCAATGGATTTCCAGGTAAATTTAACACTTTTCTTTATATAATTTTATTCGCAAAATATATTGAACTATAAATTTATTAATTTGGCTAATTAAATGTAGGGAATTATGATGTTTCTACAATCGTTGCCAACTTCTAATTGGAACTACGAAGATATTGAACTTTTATTATCTGAAGCTTATATGTGGAAAAGTTTATTTCATAATGCTCCTAATCATTTGTCTAGAGCATAACCAGTAATCTTTTTTTGTTTGCTACATTTTTTTTTTTTCGTAGTGTATGAAATATACAAATTGTACAAATTATTGATGAAATATACCTTTATAATGATAATTAGAAATATAAGAAAAATGTACAGTAATATTTTGATTGTATAGAATTTACATATAAATATTTATAAGACATTAGAAGATTTGTTTTTTGGTAATGGTTTATTTATTGGGGTATCTATCATCGGTTTAATTACAAACATAGTACAGGTAATATAGCAATATCATTAATCAAGATTTTTTATAATAAAATTTTTTTAGATCTACAGTACATTCACATTAAACGATCATAAAAACATCGCCTTTAATTTCTTTCGTAATATCTACCATTTTTAAATTCAATAAAGATGTTTAATAAAAACTAGGGATGGCAAATGATTTAAAACGCTTGTTTTAAAACAATATAAAACTGATTTTAAAACAAACATCATATGATAGTTAGTTTTTGCCAAAAAGTATACTAAATATTGTTTCAAAGCATATATAATAAACTGAGTCTCAAACTCTATTTATACAAATTTATTAATAACGATAAGTATGCTTGCTAAACTTGTTAAACCAAAGCACGTTATTACTGTTACTATTTATTAATACATAAATTATCGCTATTTATTAAATATATAATATTTATTTATTTCATTGATTATTTATTATTTTATTAACTTTTTATACAATTAATAACACCTGATTCATACTAAGTTTTTAAGCAAAAACTTGCGCAAGCATTCTCTTCAGATAAATGGTTTTGTATAGAGTTAATCATATTCTTTGCTTCAGAAAATATTTTTTTACTAGAAATGCTGGTTACTTGTATGATTAGATAATCTCATGTTATTTTTGCAAGCTTGAAATAATGTATATTAGCTAATTGTATTTTTCAAAAATCTAAAGAATTACAATTCTATTTAATAGCTTTAAAATATTCTTCAAGAATACTGAGAGTATTGTTGTTTGATTTTTATTGTGATAACTCCTAAATAATTTCGTGAAAAATCATTGATATCTTTAGTATGAAATAAACAAGTTTTTATATTTGAATATTATACATAAATATTATATAAAATTTCATATATGATTAGTATTGTTTTATTATTGAATGATGATAATTTTATATTTAAATTTAATACAATGAATATATTACAACAAGCCTAAAAAACAGACTAATAATTATCAAGTTTTTTGTATAATTGTTGTGTAATTTAACTTTTTATTTGAATTTTATTGTTTAATATATTATGTTAATTATTTAAGATAGTTAGAAATAATCAAATATAAATCTTTTATTATTAAATAGATAGATAATAATAAGATTAGTATTGCTCTAGCTATTAGCTTAAGTAATATAATAATTAACTAAATAAGATAAGTAAATTAAATTTTATAAACACATCAACTCTTCCCGTCGATCCTCTGACCACTTTTTTCCGAAAAGAAAACCCGACCTGCGAAAACACTTTT